GAAGTAAAAGTGTTCATAAACTATGGGAACATCTTTCAACGATACCTTGACTTTGTGAAAAGCTGTTAAGATTTTCGCCTCAGGTACTAATCCATCTTCCATACTTCCTCAGAAAATTGCCGGGAAGCCTGTGCATAAACGTTTTTGGTTAATTCCAAAAAAGAGGGTGACGCAACCAGTGTTAAAATTTGTTAAAATTGGGGATAACACATGTTTAGGGTTAGAATTGTTTTCTTAGGCTAAGGGTTGAGATATGACTTAGGGTTAGACCAGTGCTAGGGTTACTTTGAAGCTTGTGGCTAGGGTTTTGACCTAGGGTTAGTCACGTGACAAACCTTCGGCAGCAAAGTCAAACTCCATAGATGAGATCTTCACACAACATAGACCATGCTTTTAAAGTACCCAAAGTTCTTTCGCTATGCTTAAACATGAAGATGACAATTCCCCCACCCCCCATATTTTTACTTTTGTGCGTTTTGCTAAAAAGGTCGAAAAAGCTAGTTTTCAAGACATCCAGCCTCATAACTCTGGACTGCCTAAATAGCTTTAGCTTAAACTTTGTGAAAGTAMTCAGACTTGTTGTGCAAACCTGTCCACAAAAGATTGAAACGAAATAGCCAATAAACTACAAAAAAAATATTTTGATTAAATTCTGAACCGTTTTCCTAGAAACATTTCACAATTTTTATTTTTATATATTTTCAGGATACAAAATTGTGAATAAGACAGATAACTGTGGAGCAGGATATCAAAAGAAGATTTTTGGCAATGAATCTTACTACTGCCGTAAGTGATTGTTATGCAGGTTGAGATATAACGTATGCTTTCATTGGCTGATTTTACCGTAGTAATGTTAGAATTCAAAGACATGGTTTAAAAAAGAGAAAAATACAGAGAAAAAAAATACAGGGAAAAGAAAAGAAAAAAATTATGACATATGTATTTGATTCCTCTGATATTAACATTAATTTGCGGATGGAGGGAACTCGAGAAGGCAAAAATRCGTAGCTCCGAATTGTTGTTTTAGTTGAAAATGTYTTTCTAAAAATGTAATTAAGTCACAATTAATCAGCTATAAATTGACAGAAAGTTGGAACTAGCAATTCAAAATAAGGTTGTAATTTAGTGAGAAAGAAATGCGACTT